GGTAAATATCTGGACCACCATCACTAATGTGACTTGATTTGGTGCATGTCACAGGAATTGCGTGAGATCGAATGGATTCCTAACCGGGACGCGAGACAGCCGACCGTGTGATTTATGTGAACTGCTTGATAACTCGTTCACTGCTCCTCTGTCACTGTCGTCGTTTACTGACGATCTACAGCTTCGCTTTTACGCTCATACTTGTCCTTCTGCTGTGTACAGGAGCAGCTGACTTACAAGTTGAATAACTGTGCAGATTACTATTGAGTGAAGAGGTGTTATTCGGACCGACCTGGCAATTTATTTACCATCATCTGTGGATGAGAAATTGCCAACTGTTCCGCAATGTAAAAATAGATGAGAACGCTAGATGCGAAACATTGCAGAATACAAAAGCAAAATAGCAAGTAACATAATGTTAAGTGTGGTGTTCTCCACGCAGTGTGCCATTGTGGTTGGAGGGGGAGCTAAGTATGAAAGGGAAAAAAGAAACTCGCAAGGCAAACACCGCTGAGGTCGGCTCTTGGCCAAGCCAACTAGTGTATCCAACCAAACATCTTCATCGTCCTTCGGACCCTAGCTCCGCAGTCCGGAGACACCAACCGACGCCAAGTTCGAACTGAGAGGTTTCATTCCTCTTGATCAAGTCATCACTTATACTCACCTCACATTGTCTCCAGTACACGCAGTTTCCATGGCTTCGTTGATGAATAATGTGAAAGGTGACAGCGGGCATCCATGTCTCACACCGCTGAATATTTCAAACGGCGGCACCTCATTCCGCTCGAACTATGCGCGTAAAGCGCTCTGATAATGTTTACATATTTATAGGGCACACCGTTCCTGATTAGACAGTCCCAAAGGGCACAACGATCCACTGAATTGTAGGCACTTTTGTTGTCAAGAAATACGGCCCTGCTGCCTTACTGGTAGGTTATTTAGCCAAAGGCTCGAGGTGGAGTCCCCTAAGTCAACTCCCTACTTCGGCTTGGGCAACCGGGTAGTATCACGCCCTCTCGCAAAACCATGGACTGTATTACAATGTGCACATCAGCTACTGTTTCTGCTAGTCACATTCAGACGACTTCATCACACGCCAATTGTTTGTTTGCTAACAATCCTCACTTTCCGTTACCCGATTCATGTGTTCAACAATCTGGCTGCGATTCCGGTTGCTCCGCAGATCAAGGAGTTCAACCTATGGCTCTCCTTCGTCACCGATACTCGTTCTGTCTGGCGTGCTTCAACCTTCGGACACTCATGCAAACTGGACAGCAAGCCGATCTAGCGCGCACCCTAGATTCCCTAGACATTGATGTCTGCTACCTTTCAGAAATCCGATTGCAAGATCCCAGCATTGTGCTTACATTGACATCCCCCAGTGACCACGAAGCCAGATATCACCTGCGTCTTTCTGGAGATCCAGAAGCAGCCTCAGCGGGTTTGGCTGGTGTAGGTATGGCACTAAATGGCAAGGCCGAGGCGGCACTACTGGACTGGTTCCCGATTAACAGCCGACTATGTGCAGTTCGGCTTCGGGGCTCATGTGGAATCAACAGGCGCCGCGAAGAGAAACGCAACTTGTTTGTGATCTCCGCGTACGCTCCAACTGACTGCAGTGGCGACTCGGTCAATGACGAATTCTACCGAGATCTACAACAGCTCTTGACTAGGGCTAAGAAGTCGAATGTCGTTATCCTTGCTGGGGATTTTGTTGCACGGGTTGGCCGCCTTTTACCATACGAACGCCACCTTGGTGGTCATCACGCGCTCGATGAAAACCGCTCTGATAAAAGAGAGAGGCTTCTCACATTGTGCGAAGACAACCGTCTGTTACTTTCGAGCACTGTTTTCAGGCGTACGAAGAGGCGTTCCGCAACGTGGCGTCCCCCTTCTTCAACCCAACCGTGGTCTCAAATTGATCACATTGCAATTAGCTTCAGATGGCGCGGCAGCGTACTGGACTGCAAGTCCTTCTGGTTCCCCTTCGTTGACTCAGATCATGCTCTGGTCTGCGCGAAAATCTATATGTGTTTTGGAGGATCCCGAAACACGAAGCACCGCAAGATTGATGTAAACAGATTACTTGATTCCTCTGTCCAGATGAGCTGTCAGTTTTCAGTGGCATTTGCATTCAGTTGCCATCCACCGCAAGAAGTGGAACAACACTGGACTTGTATACGGGAAGCGATGACCATTTCCGGACAGTCAAGCTGCGGCCTAACTCGACGCCCCTTGAGGGCTTGGATCTCTGCTTGTTCTCTGGAGCTGTTCGAACGCCGCAAAGTTATCCCCGCGGAATCAGATTGCAACGAGCGGCGCCGTTCTGCCAACCGGCTGCTCAAGCAAAGCCTACACAAGGATCGCGAGACATGTTGGTCTTAACGTCCTTTAGAGATGGAGAATGCTGCCCTCTCTGACAATACTCGCAGGCTTTTCCAACTCATTCAGTCCACTGGCTTCAGGAAGCCTGGTGTCAGTAAGGTCATTTGTGAGATGGATGAGTCTCCGAGTACCAACCAACAGAGGCGTATGGACCGCTGGGCCGAGCACTCACTCGCAGTTCAACTGGCCTCCACCCTCCATCAGTACATGCAGTACACATTGTTGTCTAGCCTGGTTCGTCCCACTGAATCCATCCAGCGAAGCGGAAGTCTGCCTCGAGATTCGACATTTGAAGCGGTTCAAGGCTGCCGACTTAGACGGACTTCTTCCGGATCTGTTCAAGTACGGTGGTGTGGTGATCATTAACCAGCTGACCGCGCTGTTCGCAAAAATTTGGCATGAAGAGAAGGTGCCTTCCTCTTGGGGCGAATCAGTTGTTGTCCCGATTTTCAAGAGTCGGTCGCACTTCATGTGCAAATTATCGCGGGATTAGTCTTATTTCAGTTGCCTCTAAGCTATTGGCATCCATTCTGCTTCGCAGACTATCCCCAGTACATGAATCATACTACTGTGAAGAACAAGGTGGTTTCCGTCCTGGCCGCGGATGCGTGGATCAAATCTTCACGCTCCACCAGCTCCTCGAACATCGCCACGTTTATCACAGGCCCACTATCATTGCATTCCTAGACATACGTGCTGCTTTTGACTCCGTTGATCGACCTGCTTTATGGCGTTGCTTGCTAAAGAACCGGGTGCCAGAGAAATATACTGCCATCTTATGAGCACTTTACCTTCATACATCCGGCAGAGTGAGGGTCTATGCCAAGCTTTTCTCACAATTCGCTGTCAATAGCGGCGTGCGACAGGGCTGCCATATATTCCCATTCCTCTTCAACTTCGCCATCGAAGACGTTCTGTCGAATGCTCTAGAAGGTCTCCAACATTTTGGCCTAGAGCTTCTACCGGGTGAACGCGCGACCGACTTAGATTATGTTGATGGTATCACCTTACTTGGTGACGATCCTCAGAGTATGCAACTCATTCTGGATCGTTTGGGGGTTGAAGCATTTAAGTATGGCATGAGCTTCGCCCTATCCAAGTGTAAAGTACTGCTCAAGGATTGGCTTTCACTTGCTCCCATGCTCACTCTCAAAGATGCACAACTTGAACAGGTAGATAGTTTCGTCTACCTTGGAAACTGTGTTTCTGCTAACGACACTATCAGCAAAGAAGTTTCTCTTCGCATCGCTAAAGCTCGATCAGCATTTGTCAATCTGAGGCACTTGTGTCGTCGTCGCGACGTGTCATTCTCGTTCAAGGGCCTCGTTTACAGCGCGTCAGTTTGTTCAGTATTGTTGTATGGGTGCGAGTCCTGTCCGATTCGCGTGAAAGACATGCGTCGTCTTTCTGCGTTCGATAACGGTTGCTTAAATAGGATTGCTCGTGTTTGGTGGCAATATCGAGTTAATAGTAATGACGTTCGACATCGCATCTTGGGGAATGCGATTATTCCCTTCAACAACCTGGTTTTGTTGCGCCAATTGAGATGGCTCGGTCACGTCCTACACATGGCACCCGAGCGTCTACCGTGTTGCGCTCTATTCTCTCGTTAAGGACCTGGCTGGAGGCGCCCACGTGGTGGTCAGCCTTCCACTTGGCGACAGCACATGAAATCGCTGACGTCGTGTCTAGCCGCTGTTGGACCCGTACGTCTTCCAAGATGGGGACCCAAAGATGAGGAGTGCCAATGGCTTAGCACTTTTGAAGATATGGCCCGCAACCGGAATCAATGGAAGAGTTGTGTACAGTATTGTATTGATTCCCATGTTTAATACTACAAACGTTGAAAATGACAAAAAATGAGCAAAATCGGCGTGTGGAAAACAAACTAAAAAATTTTGTTCTACTTTTTGTCAAAATGTTCCCTTCCTACTGCGGCACATTGGCTGAAGTGTGTTGCTCACCATTAACTGCCCTGTCGCGATGGTTATGACGCGATGGCGTTCCATTATCTGGTATTCTCGATGGCTTTGTTGGCTCTATGTCTAGTTGCTAGGCTGTTTAGCTTAGATACATACATACAAGGAATACGACTACAGTGAGTCGGCAAATGATATGGTGGTGTCTTAACAATCTGCTTACGGTGAAGATTCATTCTCTCACATGTGTATGATGAGCTCACGTTTGTCGTGTTGTTGCCTTATTTCCCAATAACGGTGACTGCGCAATTCGGAATCACTAGAGGTTCACTGGCCACTTCGTCGATTCGTCTCTGTTGGCATTTCGACCTTTGAGGTATGGCTATTTCTTTTCAATCTATCACCTTCCCTTTGTTCATTTCACACACTTATTCTCAAAATATATTTGCTTTACTAAACTCTAATGCTTTCATACAATTGCACACTAACAATGGAAGCCATTAATTGCGTAGGTTTAATACAGGTCTTCACAGACAACAGCGTTCCGTCAATACTAGCACGCACGTTTGGACAAATGTGTCATCTCGCGGTGATACATTTCACCTGCTTTTCTATCCTCTTTCTCATGCGCCTTGTGTTTGTCACTCTTATTCCAGTCGGTAAACCATTTTTCAATTTTCGCTTGCATCCATGCAGAAAGCCACCGAGCTTCAACACCGTATTTCGGCCTTCACTAGAGCCGTAGAGGCTCGCCGCGAGACGGTAGATCTGGGCTGTGGCTTCTACAGCCACACAAAGGAGATTCTGACTTGGTTGCATTGTGTACGCGAGGGCTACAATCCTGGCGAACATCTACCAGCAACTATCGAAGGAATGGAGGACGAGCTAACCACCTTCCATCGCGATCGCACAGCCATCGAGGAGGGTGCTGATCGGGTTTCTTCTGAAGGGGAGGCGTTAGTCACACGTCTTAAGGACATAGAAGAAATAGCCCATGTCCAATCGGTGTTAGCGCAAGTAAGCCCGTTCTCATCACATTGCCGCATTCTAACAGCCTCGCTTCTCACGCCGAATTATTATTTCACACTTGGCTACATTGGTCCTTTTTAGGTGTCAAGTGAACGAGCTGCCGTATCCACCTTGCAAACAGAGCGCCAACTCCGTTTGGATTTGTGTCTACAACTTCGGCTTTTCGAGGCAGATGTTAACTCCGCCTTGGATTGTTTGCGCCACAAAATCCCTTCCTTTTCCCTCTTGGCATCCAACCGAGTCGATAATAACAGCTTGAATACCACGGGCTCTAGCTTAACTGCACGTCCACAATCTCCATGTTCTTCTGGTCAGCCCAGTTGGATTTCAGACCTAAGGCAGGCACCCAATATTGGTGCGTTAGAAGAAGTTTCTTCAGTATGTCTTTCTGTGCTACCCACCGCAGAAGAGGTCTTGCATAAGGGCGCTGAGTTATTGAGAGCGTTCGAATCCGTTGGGGTCAATTTTCCTGCAGGTACGCTCTATCTTCACCTTTCTCTGTTTTTTTGGACTTATAGATGTTTTATCTACGCTCACACGGTTTATTCCCTTGTTTGTTTGTTAACAGGTGGTCCTGGATCTAGTGATTCCGGTGTCGGTGATAGCGTTGAAAGTGCCATTGAGCGGGTGCACCGTCTAAGCAACGAACTATCTGAAGCAGTAGCTGTTGTTGATGAGTTGAATGAACGCATCAGTGGCGAGTTGGACTGGCGGAGGCTACAAGCACAAAGTGAACAGGTGCGTTTCTATTTTATGAGATGCGCATTGTTCTCATACCTTCGTGAATCACCACGCACTGGTTTGTAGACTCATCTTGTACATTCTATTCGATATTTTATTAAATGCGTGTACTTGCTGCGTGTATTACCTCAATTCTCAGCTGCCTGCGAAAACGGACTCGTCAAGTGGAACATCTACCCTCGTCCTCTTCCCTTCTTACATCCTATGGAGTTGATTCCAGTTGATCACTTTTTATTGCGAATGGAGAAGCTAGTGTAACAGGTCCTGTAGAATGGTTTTTGTGCGAATTGTGTTTTCAGAGGCAAATGTTACCAACAAAGTGAGCAGCGCATCTGTTAATTAACCGTTGTGCTCACATACACACCAATACAAATCCGTGTACCTTAGTCTTATGGGGAGACCTGAGAGCACGTTATTTGTTTGCGTTATGTGGACCACATGAACGGCGATTGCACCGCTTACTGCAAATGGCTTAATGTATTGTCACTTTGCTCCTGCATACGAATAACATGGATGCAAAAGCGACGTAGATCATAACATTCCACTACTAACAAACTCAAAGAGAACATGATTCCAACCGCCTAGATTGCTCAGTCAACTCTAGCTGCTGATTGCTATTGCAACTAAATGTCGAAAAGGGATGGCAAAAACTACAGGGATTCTTCAAGACCTGGTAAGTCAGATTGAGATCACCTCTTAGACTTCGATACCCTACGCTATGGTCTCCTACGTTTTTCAGCCTAAGTTGCTTTGAGAGACGGAGCAAGCCCTTAACATCCATAGTTCCCATTCTATTTAGGTGAGGCAGTGCGACGTTAGTGCTCCTCCACCAGAATTGACAGGTTTGGATGGTGTATCTCACACGGGGTCTCATGTACTTGTTGGGCGCTCACTGGAATTTTGCTGCTCCATACCACCCTAACGCCATTTGCATAAGTCCGATATGTTGGCCCCCGGTTTTCATATTTTCGCGAATTATTTCGAACAACTAGAGCATTCTGAGCCACCAATTCAAGGTCGCGCTTTTACCAGACCTCTGGATGTTTCCAAATATACCAACATTATCTGATTCTGTGCTTTTATCCGCATCAAACAGGAGCACATTCCAACGGGAACATTTAGAAGCACCGTCCTTTTCACGATGTGGCAATCTGTTATCTTTCTGACTACCGACCACTTATTTGACCCGTACATTATGGACAAAAAGCAAGAAATGCGAATCGATTGCACGCTCTTGGCCGTTAATAATGCACCTTTTGGAACACCACTTTCTACCTTCATCAGATCGGAAAATGGTCTAATAACATGGGTGTACCACCGATCTATTCACGAATAGGGTTCCAAAAGCCATAGCTTTAGGGCTTCACAAGCTACACGTTGTATTTATCCGTTTGCTGAGGAATACCGCTACTCATTTTAGGAAGGCAATGAACATACTTGTACGATGGGTCGTTATTTGTACGAAACATTCTGGTTGGTCACTGTTTATATGCAAGTTTACCCTCATGGACTAACGTGGTTTGGTGATTAGGCTGCACCAAGTACTCGCTCAAAGTGTCAGGCCTAGGTTTGGTTGTGTAATTATACTACGCTTCGTCTCTCAGTACTGTGCATTTTCAAAACCCTGCTTCTGATGGGGTGGCAGTGTCTGTGGATCGGAGACACTTAGTTTCGCACCCTGCTGTGATCATATTGCTAGACTTTCCAACGAACTCTATCCAGGCCTATTTCCAAACGGCTTTTGGCCGAGTGGTTTCCTTAACGGGTTTTATGCGAAATCTTAGTCCCTGGTTGTACGCATCAATTTAGTTTGTTCTTTTTGATTTTCGGTCACATTGTTATGAATTTTGACCACTCGATCATTCAGCGCTATCGAACACTACCGCTATCTTTTATTATTAACAGCTGTTCATTTGTAAGCATTTGGTCTTTCATTAGCTGTTTATTTGCCACTCTGAATCTGGTAGGCGGACTGGTATGGTTACGTTGACGATTGTTTGCTATAAGTCCTTACATTACGGGTTTGAACCGGCCCCTCTGGATCATGGACGTTGAAGTTATTTGAGATTACAATGTGGCTGTATCTTAGTCACCTGATATTTGGGTATCAACCAAGGCTCTTCATCGGGTTGATGCATGCCATCTCCCCTCCATCTACTTTTCGTGATTAGAAGCATCAGGGCTTAGGGATTCTACCCGGCATCTCGAAGTCGCTAATTCAGCTGTGCTGCTTACCAGTCTTTTTCACTGAACCCCTCTAACCCTTCCATCTAGCGACTAGCTAAATTTTCCCTAGTAGTACTAGTTGTTGTTTGTTGTCGTATAGTTAGCAGTCTATCAAATACACATACAGTCAAACATAACCATGGAAACCACTAAAAGAAGACAGGTTGAACACCGTATCAGCAGCATGGCACATTAACTGAAGGTGTGCAACACACTTCAGCTATTGTGCCGCAATATAAGCAACAACGGAGCATTCTTTACCATTTTACACACGCCCCTTTTTAATATTTGGTCATTTTTAATCGTTGAGCATTAAGTATCCAAATCTAAGCAGTTCTATACACAGATCCTCCACTGGTTTCGATTACGAGCCATATCCTGAATTGTTTCCAGCCCTCGACACTCCTCGTCCTTTGGTCCCCAACCAGGCAGACGTGTGAATCCAATGATGGCAAGACGTGAAGTCGACAATTTCATTTGCTGTCGCCAGGTGGACCACCACGTGGTCTCTTCCAATTGAGTCCTGCATGAGAAAACAGAGCGCGATGGGGCAAACGCTCAGCTGGCATACGCAGGACATGACCGCGCCATCTTAACTGGTGCATCGAAACCAGCTTGTTGAAGGGAATACTCGCATTCCCTAAGACACGATGTCTGACTTCACTGTTGCAAATGTGTTGTTGCCACCACACACGAGCAATCCTGCTTAAGCACCCGTTGTCGAAGGCCGAGAGCCGGCGCATATCGTCTACGCGAACTGGCCATGACTCGCTTCCATATAGCAACACCGCCCGAACGGTGACATTGTAAACACAACCCTTTTTCAAGAGGGAGATATTCCGACAACGCCACAAGTGCTGCAGGTTGACAAACGCCGACCGAGCTTTGGCGATGCGAAGAGAAACTTCCCTTCTAATGGTACCACCAGCAGACACAGCTGCCAAGGTAGACAAAGCTATCCACTTGTTCAAGCTGTGTACCTTCAATATTGAGCACGGGAACAGTTGTGTGCCAATCCTGAAGCAGCACTTTGACGGGACAAAGCACATTCCATACCCAGATGCCTCAATCCCCAAACGGTCTAGAATGGTTTTCATGCTCTGTGAGTCCTCACCAAGTAAGGCGATATCATCGGCATAATCTAAGTCGGTTGCTCGCTTGCCCGGTAATAGCTGTATACCAAAATTTTGGCAACCGTCTAGAGCTCTCGACAGGATGTCTTCAATCGCAAAACTGAAGAGGAACGGGGACATAGGGCGGCTTTGTCGTACACCGCTACTGACAGCAAAAGACGACGAAAGCCTGCCATGCAACCTCACTCTGCCAGAGATGTGGAAATACAGTGCACGTAGAATGGTAGTGTACTTTTCTGGGACACCGTTCCTTAGCAAACAATGTCAGTGCAGGTCCATCAACCGAGTCGAATGCGGCACGGATGCCCAGGAATGCAACGATGATAGGGCTCTGATAAAGGTGGCGGTGTTCCAGGCTTTGACGACTTGTGAATATCTGATCCACACACTCGCGATCAGGTCGGAACTAAGCTTGTTCTGCCCGGTACTGCGATTCGCGAATGGGAGATGGTCTATGGAGTAGAATGGATGCCAATAGCTTGGAGGCCATCTAAATGAGACTAATCCTCCGGTGTTTGGAATACGAAGTGCGAGCATCCTACTTAAAAACCAGGACAATAACTGACGCCCAAGGAAGAAGACACCTTTTCTTCATGCCAGATTGTGGAAAACAATGTGCTTAGCTGACTAATTATAACTGCGCCTCCATATTTGAAAAGCTCCCGAGGAAGTCCGCCTGAGTCGGCAGCTTTTAATCGTTTTAGGTGTCGAATGGCAAGACAACTTCCGCTTCTCTTGGTGAATCAAGTGTGACCACCCAGGGCGGGCAGCTGGGTTCGCAGGAAATATAAGTGGACAGTGAGGGCCAATTGAACTGGGAATGAAAATGTTCCGCCCATCGGTCCAAGCATCTCTGTACGTTGGCAATCGGCGAACCATCCGCTTCGCATATAGTCTCACTGACACTAGGCTTTCTGTGGCCAGTGGGTCTAGCGATTTGGAAGAGCTTGCGAGTATTGCCAGAGAGGTTAGCGGCCTCCATTTCCGAAGCACGCTGGGACCACCAGGCTTCGTGATTACTGCGTATACTTTGTTTGAGCTGCTGACTGACAGAACAGCGCATTTTATCATGATTAGACTCCGCTGGAATATTCCTGCGACAGTCAAATAAATCCAAAGAGTGTGTGCAGATCCAGGCCTCCATAGGGCGCTGCATAAGACCACAGATTTGCTGTCCGGAAGAAATCATGGTCCTCTGCATGCACGTCCACTGTTCATCAATATCTTGCGGCGAGTCGCAGCCAAGTGCACTAGCCAGGGCAGCTTTATAACTCTGCTGAACCAAAACAGTAGATAGTTTATTTGTATCTATCTTACAGTGCTTCATTTTCGGGGACCCTCCGAAACTCATGCAGATGTTCGCACAGACAGGAGCATGGTCTGAGTCAAGAAAGTAAACCAGATGGATTTGCAGTCTTTTACACTACCCCTCCATCGGAAACTGATTGCAATATGATCAATCTGAGACCATGATTGAGGTGCAGAAGGCAATCGTTAAGTAGCGAGACGTTTCCTCGAATGCCGAAAGTTGGTGCTCTCGAAAAACGGATGATTATCTTCCCACAATGCGAGAAGTCTCTCTCCATTATCTGAGTGGCTCTCATCGAGCGCATGGTGACCACCGAGGTGACTTTCGTATGCCAGCATACGACCGACCCTTGCTTTGAGATCACCAGAAGGAAAACCATGTCGGATTTGCAAGCTCTGCTCAAGAGCTGATGGAGTTCACGGTAGAAATCGTCCTTGACGGATTTGTAACTGCACTCAGTTGGAGCGTAAGCTGAGGTCATAAACATGTTGCGTCTCTCCTTACGACATCGGTTTATCTTACATGACCCCCGAAGCGGAACCACACACAGTTGGCTATTAATCGGGAACCAGTCCAGCGGTGCTTCCTCGGCTTTGCTACTTAGCCCTACATCAACGCCAGCCAAGCCTGCCGCAGCTACTTCTGCGTCACCAGATAGACGTAGGTGAAATATGGCTTCGTGGTCAGTGGGAGATCTCAGCTCAATCACAATACTGGGATCTTATAAGCGCATTTCGGAAAGACAGCAAACATCGATGACGAGGGATTCCAAAGTACGCGCACGCCCAGCTTGCTGCCCGATCTGCATGAGTGTACGTACATTGAAGCGTGCCAGACGGAACGAAAAACGAGACCGAAGGAGTGCGACTGGGCGAGCTCTCTGGGTGTTGACGAAACCATCCGGAGTAGAACCATAAAAGCAAGAATCATTTGGTAACGGATAATACTGATTGGTAACAAATGAACAGGTGGCATGTGAAGGCGAGTGACTAGCGGGAGCAAAAGCAGCTGAGAGCGATATTGCAGTTGCACAGTCCATGTTTTTTCAGTGGGCATGATACTACCCGGTTGCCCAAGCCGAAGTAGGGAGTTGTCTTTGGGAACTCCACTCTGTGCCTTTGGCTAACTAGCCTGACCACAAGGCAGCGAGGCGATTATGAGACTTAGTCCGACTCCTAACCATTGACCTGATAGGTATAAGTGGCTTTGAATGCACTTGAAAGTGCCTCCCAGCGTAGCTCAATGGGTCACAGGGGTACACAAACCATCGCACCACGTTAAGCTCCAGTCTCGTTGCGTTTTTTCTCCGTTTCTATGAGCTCTTGCTGCATTTATCATTATTATTACTATCATTATTATCATCACTAGTATTATTGTCATACCCCATGGTAACTAGATTCATCGCAGTTCGTTGTCCACATTGTAGTCGACCAGCCAAACTGAACTGAATGTATCCCACTTCTCACCATGCTCGATTAGTCACTTTCTACCATAAAACAGCTTGTCCTCAAGCTAAATTTCCATCTTTTCCTCTTATTTTCTCTCATGCACGCAACGATGTCAATGTGTTCCCGTAACCATGCTCTGCAACTTCTTTTCGACTATAACTAGTATACTTCCTTTATATTTTTATTGTTCCACTGAATGTTATTTGGTCTACCAAATCCCTTCGCAGCGCGGTTGCGCAATTCTCTTCAGGATACCTTCCCAACCAGTTCTTGTGCTAGCTGCCACTTGCTACTTTATCGGAGCACCAATCCTTACAACCTTACCTACTTTACGTTTATTTATTTGCACTCATCAATTGCTTACTCAATTTTTCTACTCTCTCTCTCTCAACTCTAGTTAGTTATTCCAATCTAATGGGTTGGCACAAACCATGCCAACCTGTGGCCTTTAGGATCACAAGTCTGACGTCGCGGGTCCGAGTCTGCATGGGGTAACGGACGACCCTCACGATATCCTTAACGCATGTGCCGCTGGTGCTGGTTGCGCGGTACTGCTTATCGGCGCACTGCTGATGCCTTTTTTGGCACAAGCTATATTCTCTGCAGTACAGATTCGCCCTTATTCGTCTTAGCTTTTGCTAACTTTCTGAACTTGGTCTCGCCTTACTCTTGTTCCTACCCACCTGATTTTCTGCTTCAGAAATCTTTTGTCGTCACACGTTTGTTGTACTCTGCTGCTTTTGGTGCTGTGTCTCATCCGACCATTTTGCTCCTCGTAGGTCCTTAACTGGATTAACCAATGCCAGGAAATCTTGAGAGAGACGTCTGTCATTCCTACCACCCTTGCCGAGGCACAAGCGCTTCAAGCAGAGCACGAAAAGTTCCAGCCCGTCCTGAACGATGCTCATCCACAGGCTGTTCAGTGTACCGCACGGGCTAGTATGCTACTGCAACAGGCAGCGGCTAACTCCAGCAGCTTATCTACTTCCACGGTGGGTGGCGAGCACCCACATCGCAAGGACTATCGAGCTGTCGCCGAGGCAGTTGCTGATCATTGGCAAAAATTGGTTTACGCTGCTGAAGATCGTCACAAGCTTTTAATTGCGGCTACTAACTGGTACGTCTTGTCAACTTACTAGCTCAAGTCGGTACTAAGTAGTTGGCCGTTGTCCGTTTCTCCTGCCGATATCTCTTGGTTTTATCTAACAGGTTTTCGCTGTTGTGCCCGCTCTCACTGATTTCGCTTTTAGAGTTAGCCATCTCACTTGCCCCTACTAGTTAGTGGTATTTCACTCGTTATGCGCTTCTAGTATCCGTCACTGGATTAAACTCCTGTTTCCAACTTCTCGCGGCACATACACAACCTTAAGTAGTCGTTTCGTATTTGCGTACAGGTGGTAGGTTATTTTTCGCTTACATAATTCCACTTGTTCCACCGGCGTTGTATCTTCGTAATTAAGGCACTCTTTGTGCATAGCAGGATTTTATATCATAACTTATCTTCCGTTGCTTTCACAAGTTCTGTTGAGCCCGCATCTGACACTACCGTCATCTCCCGACACGGTCACCTATTGCTAGACCAGTACTACACAATACGAAAAATACCGCAAAGATTGCACAGAACGTTATCTTTCTGTTATATGGAAAGTTTTCCTTTAAATATGTTTACAGAAACGATTAGCGAAATGGTATCTGTCACTTTTCTGACAACTTGGTACCAAATCTACTTGCTATCAATGAGATCACCGCGTTGAAATTGTGGAGTGTTTCTTTTGAATCTGTGTGCGATCCAACCGGGGAAAGTCTCAGATCCAGACCCGTCAACACAGTGCTACGCAGCGCAACATTCTACAATCGCCGATGATATGCAGAAGCAATCCCCAGAGGTGTTCGACCCCATACTAGGTTGCTGCACCAAATTCAGGGCATCTCTTTATTTAGAGGTTGATGCAAAGCCTGTTTTCTGGTCCATAAGACCGGATCCGTGTGCTTCTCTTAACTTGCATGACGGTAAACGGAATAGCTTGGAACCATCAGAAGTGAAACCCAAAGTGGACTACTCATACTGACCAGCGCCTGTAGTGCTAGTGAAAAAGGCAAACGTAGCCATCCACTTATGCGGATTTTCCAACCGGCTTGAGCGCAGCACTATGTCTATATCAATACCCGCTGTCACTACCGGAACATCCTTTCCCCAGACTCAGCGACAGCCGAAATTTTTCAAAAATTGACCTCACTGATGTCTAGCTCCATGTGTTAGTAGTTAATGACGCAGGGCGCCTTACAATTAACAGTCATCGACTACGGTTGAGATTGAACGCTACCCCAGGTCTCTTTCAACAACTGATGGACGCGATGCTAACGGACATTCCAGCGACTTGTGCAGACTTGCATAATGTTATCGTCGCATCATCAGACAAAACCCAGTATAGCTGGTACCTCTTCCAGGTATTCGGAATCAGTTTGCTTCCGAGAGCTGATAAATGTGATTTGTTTATATGTCAGCTGAAATACCTTGACTTTATAGTCGATTGAAACGGAAGGAGACCCATATATATATATATATATATATATATATATATATATATATATATATATATATATGGCAGTTCATACTTAAGTTTGAACAAACACATGTGCATATGTTGTATTCGAACTGCCATTGGACACGGATGACGCCAATCCATGTATATATGTATACCGAATGAATTCGACGATGATATTCATACCGCTTTTGTACAGCCAACTTAGTGCAGGGATGCGGCACTGGGGCAAACCGAAAGTAACATTACCAGGACATGAATGTGAGTTTATGCTGAAATGTTGATTTTAGGTGTTGCGAATCCAAGGCACAGTTGATCGCTTCGAATTCCGTGGACTGACGAAGAAGGCGGTTGCCAGGTGCAGAAGGCACTGTTGCAAGTGGAATGGAAGCATGATGCGTATGCTTCCATGCGATCTACTAATCCAGGCCAATAAGATGGCATATGTGGTACGTTTGCATGCGTGATGAGTATTCTTGCATTTCAGAAATAGACCTTGATTGAGCTCCCCGGTGTGGCTGCGCCTGATGTGAATGTTGACAAGGTACCTACCTGTCTAATACCCTCCACCTTGATTGCTGGTTTCAGGAGACAGTTAGTCGTTGCTGGAGGGGACGGGGTGCACCGTCCTCGTGACGGTGCTAGGCTCCAAGAGTTGTTCCATCCTGTGTGGAACAGGCTACAGCCCAGCCACCGCCTTTTGCACGTCTGGTGTGCATGATTTCCCAATTAAGCCGGAATGCTTCCGTTCTGTTTGTTGTAGGAGTGTTGGCCAGCTCCGTTGATGAAACGGGGCTTCCACCCACCTGCCTCCCGCTCTTATTCCTTTGGGTTTACACTAGTATGGGGTTGTAGCGATTGTACATATCTTTCTTCCCTATTGTACCTTCCTATTCTCATTTCCATTATTATTGTACAGTTTTGTTTTAACTGACCAACAACCGATAAAAGACTTCGGGTTTCGATTTGCCTTCTGGTTTCGGCTACGCGTGTTGTGCTGTTCATCATCGTCGGTCTGCTAGCCTCGTTCATCTATCATCGGATCTAACGCGTCGAATTATTTTGCTGACTAAGTTTCGTCTTCCAACCGGATTGTGCGACTAACTGACTGCCTACCGAGGATCGTGCTTTACCGAAGGTAAGGTCCAGCATTCTTATTTATAGACTGAGAGTTCTTTTATGTAGTTAAGCCCTTTTGGTTTGGCCTTTCCACTACAGGGTGTGGGTGGAACTGTGGGTGGTGCAGCGCAAGCGACCCATTGTCCCTCTGCAGGCGTCCTATGGCTGCCCCCGTGGAGGCCACAGTGTTAGGCACATCCGGATAAGGATGCCGCCATTTCATATATATATATATATATATATATATATATATATATATATATATCGTGCTTCTATTCTGCGTGAAATAGTGCCTTCTCCAGCACCTGAGAAACTGCCCCTTTTGAACAGTCCACGGAATTCGGATGAAGCAAAGTTGCCTTGGATTCGCAACACCTGAAATCAGCATGAGTTTGTCATAAACTCACCTTTTTCATGTCCTGGTAATGTTACTTTCGGTTTGCCCCAGTACCGCATCCCTGCACTAAGTTGGCTGTACACAAGCGGTATGAAGATCATCGTGGAACTCATTCGGTATACATATATACATGAGATGGTGTCATCCGTGTCTAGTGGTAGTTCGAATACAACATATACACATGCGGTTGTCCAGACTGTCCAGCATGAACTGCCACAAACTGAACCATAGTTCTAACAACCTGTATGGGTATCGTTTGGCGGTCAGACTAACAGCCACTTGCACACGCATGAGAATACGTATCCATTGCGAACTGTTGGTGTCGTCTTTTACATTTAGATGTGACAGCCTTAAATCTTGGACATCCATATTTGAACGAAACCGATATAGAAATACGGACGCAATCACCATCAGTACAGTTACCAAGTGTAATGATTAATAAACAAGTGGTACAGTAAACTAATATGTACTGAAGTGTCGCCTCCTATATACATAGTCTGGTTTGCGTAGCTAATGGGGAGATCGTACAGCTCGCGAATGCGATGTGATGTTCACTTCAGGATCTCCGTGTCGCTGACCGGTCCGCTCATCTGCTGCCCGAGGTACGTGCAGATTCTCCAAGATCGATTGTTGCGCAACCTTAAGTATTGACAGGTGGCTACACCACATATTCGCCGCTTACGGTCTTGCTCGCACGACAACTACCACAGTGCTACATCAACTAAGTCCCTGCTGCCCACTGTCAAACATGCGGCCTTCCATACAGTGTTCGCATTGTTTTGCAAATGTCCAAGACGTAGCATGGCTGTCATCCAAGTACTCAACTGTTTGTACATGCCGCTGTGTACTCTACTGTAGCCACAAGCTATCTGGTAACGGTCTGCATCGTACTTCTCCGGTGCAGTCATTCGGTGCTTTTAAAGCGTTGTCGCTATGCGCCGATTCCTTTCCGATGTAATGTACTAGGACACTGGCGTATTATTCCCCTTGGGCTTAGCCTTTTTCTTAGTCTATCCAAAAGATAGTTCTTGCGTTTTCATAAACCCGGTAAATTCAATATGGCGGATGAACTACGGGAAATATTACTGTTGCCACTCTCATCACTAACCTATGGAGTGGAACATGAACTGGCGACATCATGATAATCGCTAGTCGGTTAATTGTCGGGATTGTTCACTTGCCACAGAATTTCCAGGGCAGTTTCTCTTCGGATACATAGTTCAACGTAATCATATGAGGGACAATCGTTAGGCATTGTGTTCTAAATGGCAAACTTGATACTGTATGCGTACTACAAACGGCCAAGCGCTGGTAACCTTTTGATTCATGTGTACCATCGAACTGGAATCATATACAATAATTTGTTACCCTAGCATTGATCCGTATCAACAACGCAATTCACTCGGAAACTCCGCGCGCCCATCACATACGAATGAGCTCATGGGTGGACTGAACCATTATCCTGCGATGCACCGGCTCTCTAAGCGTCGTGCTAGTTAGCATTGGGTAGCTTGTCAAGCTAGGGTTATGTAATCTACACATCGATTTCAAGGAGCAGAATATAGATAATATGGTCTGGTGAGTAATACTATTTAGCTTACTTGGTGATATGTATCGCGGCCGAGTAATACTACGAAGAGGAATATGCCGTAGCTCACCGTCTCGGTACGTCACCATACTAGACTCCACTTGTGAAGGTAGCAAGAATAGCATAGGTCATGATGAGTACAACAGTGTAGTGGGCAACACGTGAACTCATCGCGAAATACAACCGAGTTAAATAAACCCAATAAAGGTAGGTTAGATGTGGCTCATTTGTTCTAGGCAGGTGCAATAAAAATACTACATTGTTCCAAGTCAGTAGTTTATCATCCCAGCGAAACTGTACCCAAGCGCGACTTATATGCGGGACATAACGAAGATGACGGAGATGGAGTAAGCGGGGAAATGGTGCGATTAAGTCCTCTGGTTTTTATAATCTCAGCTAAGTTAAACTCCGCAGTAAAAGCGGGAATTATAGCTATGCCCACTTTAACGAAGAAGTAATAGCACTATTTA